CAGAGGCAAGAGTGCGAAAAACTGTAATCCATGCAGTTTTGTTACTCTAGGCTGGATTGCTGCACTCTTTAATTATAGGTGCCCATATAAAGTTTTTAAGACGCTTCAACTTATTCAAAACGCTGCAACACGAGTACTGACTAGGAAAAAAGATCATAATCTCTCCTGGTTCTAGCTTTCTCTCCACTGGCCCCTGTAAAATTTAGAATAGATTTGAAAATCTTCCTCCACCTATAAAGCTCTTCATGGTCAGGCCCTTCATATCTTTAAAGGAGCTCATAGTACACCCTATTCCCCCACTAGAACTGCTTTTCTCTGAATGCAAGGGCTACTTGTGGTTCCTCTTAGTCTCTAAAGTAGAACAGGAGCCACGAGCCTTCAGTTTACCAAGCTCTCTCCTGTGGAACCAGCTTCCAGTTTGTGGTTTCAGGAAGCAGACACCCTCTCCACATTTAGAGTAGGCTTAGAAGACTTCCTCTTTGATAAGTTATAGTTAGGCTGGTCAGGTGGATCCTGAACATCCCTTATTATGCTGCTATAGCCCTAGACTATCAGGGGATTTCTCAGATGCACTGAGCCTGCTCCTCTTCTCTCTTTCTGCACTCATCAGTGCCATTAATACATGTTATAACTTCACTTCTCTTCCCCGGAGTTCTTGTGCTTCTCGTCCGCAGGTTTCATGGATCCTGGTGGCCTCCTGCCCATTGGTCCTGCTTGACTTGCCATTGCTAATGATCACTGATATTATTGTCATTTATTATCATTAGAAGTATTATTGAATGTTCATCATCATCACAGTCACTACTATTAGTGGTGACTTTCTCTGTTGTTGCTGCATGTCTTCTGTCTGTCTTCTGTCTGTCTCTCTCTCACTCTCACTCTCTCTCTCACTCTTACTCTCTCCTTTTTCACTCTCACTCTCTCTCTCTCCTCTCTCTCACCCCAACTGGTCAAGGCAGACGACCACACCTAGCGAACCGAAGGGTCTGTCCTAGGTTTCTGCCTGTTAAAAGGCAGTTTTTCCTTGCCCCATTGCCAAGTGCTTGCTCATGATGGTACGGTTGGGTCTTCGTAAATGTTATAAGAGTTCGGTCTAGATCTGCTCTATTTGAAAAGTGTCCTGAGATAACTTCTGTATGAATTGGCGCTATACAACAAAAAGATTAATTTAATTTAAATGAAATTGAAAATGTGTGTCTGCTGTTTACTATGTGTAAAA